TGATATTATTAATTTCACGGGTTTTTGGTTGGGTATGACGAAAAAAGAGCCCGGTTTTCTTTCTGCAAGATGGATAGATATACGTTCCTGCTTGGTTTTGGTGTGTGGTTTGGTTTGGTGAATAAAATTCCCTTCAACTGGATGATGATGATACTTTTTATCTTCTGTCTAAACCAGGTTTTGCAAATTTTTCATGTTCTCCTCTTCAGACGGAAGGCTTCTCTTCACCCGAAAACTTGAGACTTTTTGCAGCCCGAGCCAGGCTGTTTTTGGTATAATTTCGAAAACCAGAGCCAAATTGACCAACATTTTGCAAAACTGGAATCCCATACTTTATTTTACATGCTAATTTTTGCAAGCTTTATGCAACCGGGTTAACCTATGTATGTAAATAAGTTTGAAATTTACAAAAATCGGATTAATTAAAATCTTAATCTACATAAAATTTGGATGATTCTGCTGGTAAAAAGTGTTTGTCAAATAAGAAAGTGATTCAAAATTGAGTTGTAAAATTCGCATGGATCAAAATTTTAATTACTCTGATTTTTTGAAATTTCCGAATTTGCATACCTCTCTCTACAAAAACCACCATGGAAAATACCTTGATGGCATATGTGCATTAATTGGACAGGATTTTGCAAATTTATCATAATCTCCTATTTTCATTCTAAATTACTAAGAACGACTTGACGCAGCCCAAGCCAGGCTGTTTTTTTTTAGTTTCTTACATAATTTGGAAAGTTGTTTACAATTTTGGAAACCGATGTAGACGCATACATATTATACAAAAGTGGGATTAATGTTGTGCATCGTCTGTTCAGTGGTCCGACAGACAGACAGATAGACATGATGATTCCATAAGGCCAGGCTAAAACTTGCGGTATGTATGTAACTCTCTTCCGTATCCTTCCTTCCTTGTTCATGGAGCTTTTCCCAAAGAGAGAAAATTGATGACATGGAAGTTTTACGGAGAGAAAAAGAGACGAGTTGTGGATGTAAAAGGTTTCATTTCACAGTTCTTTCATTTTTTCATATGTTACATACACATATTTTCGAAGAAAAAAATTTCCAATGTGACGTAATATAACTCATAAATAGTTTTTTATGTCAATAATTTTATAATCATTATTTTTCAAAATTTAATAATTAACTATTTATTTTATGTATTAAGGAGAACCAACAAGAAATCTAAATACTTGTTAAATCCACTTGAATCCCAAAATTTTTTAAATCCGGCCTCCAAATTACACATTTTACGGTTTCTGAACAACTTGACCACGAGTATTTCGTTTCTTGCGGGTTTGTCACATTTCTGGCACTCAAATATTGGATCTATTTTGACCTGCCAGAAATGCAAGGTGCAAGAAATTCCGTATGAATTATAGCGGCGGCCGGCGGGGCGAAGTTTCTTGCGCCTTACATTTAATAGCTTATATTTCTTGCAAGGCAAGAAATGCAAGAAATGCGAGGTGAACGAAAGTGCAAGAAATAACTGCAAGAAACCACTTTCTCCCCGTTATTTCTTGCACGTGGTTTGGTTACTTTCACCCGAAAAACTGTCTCCCACATAAAAATTGGTTTACTTGCGACCCAACTGTGTCGCGATATCTCTGATTCCTTTCAAAGTTTTAGTATTACAAGATTTTTTTTATATTCTCTCGTTTTCTTCTTATACATACAGTGGCCGCGGAAGTGTGGGGACAGAGGGGCAAGGTCCCCACGGTTGTTCGATGTCCACAGCATCTCCCCATCTTATATAAATCTGTCCCTCCCCCCATCCCACAATGTTAATGTCCCCCGATGTCCCCACGGCTTCTGCGGCCACTGTATACATACATTTCTCCGCCTTATTTACACCATTCAGCAGCACTCCTCCGTCTGTATACTTTCCTAAGCGCTTTTCTCTCGCAGAATTTGATGAATGTTTACGGAGCGATTGGCAGTGAATGAATGTGTGTCGGGTCGTAGTTGACAAGATCGATTTGGCTTTCACTCCAACCAAATGACGGTACTTTCACCCACCACACAATTTTATGTCCTCACCCGCACACACACATAATTTTAGTATTTCTCCGCAGAGTTTGGATGATGGCAGCTGAAAATATAATATGTGCAAAAATCCTCAGTTTCCTAGCAGCAACGCATAGATTTATACCCGTAAAAAATTTGAAATTAAGGGGAAATTACGGTAGAAAGTTAACTCGAAGCGTTAAAAATAGGGGGAAATCATCCCAAAAATTTAAAATAGTTGGGAAAACTTCCCCCAAAAATTTATAGTAGTTAGAAAATCCCGTTAGAAATGAAATATAGTTGGAAAATCATCCAAAAAATTGTTGGAAATCATCCCAAAATACTAAAAATAGTTGGGAAATTAGCACCAGAAAATCTTTTTTTAGTTACAAAATCGCCTTAAAAATTTAAAATAGTTGCGAAATCGCCCCAAAAAGATGAAAAATACTTGGGAATCACCACTAAAAATGAAAATTACTTTCCCCACAAAAAAAAAATAAAATTAGTTCGAAAATTACCCCTTAACTTTTAAAAGTTACAAAATCACCTAAAAAAATTACCACACAAATTTATGTACATTACGCAACCATTATCATTAGCTTATCCACACATAATATATCTTCTTCCTGTGGTAATGCAACCTGTGTAATGAGCACTTTGACGAGGTGATCTTGATCTTAGAAAAACTGACTAACTACAAAAAAATAACCGTAAAGTAAAAGAAGCCGCTTTATTATCCAGCAAGCTTCTTAAATAAGCTTCCCATTTCTTAGTTACTTACTTGTTTAGCTGGCACATCGTCAAAATATTGAATGTTGAGCGAATGTCATCGTATCCCATGACAAGTAGACATTTACAATTTCCTTCGTTTTGTGAGTCAGAGTCATGCGATGGAGATGAAACAAGAAGAAGAAGAAAATTGTTGAAATGACTTTCAGCCCAGTTTCTTGGGCTTCTTTTTCCGTCTGCGGAATGAAGATGAGTTTCTTTTACTTTTCGTTCTTACATAGCTCAACTCATTGTTATTATTATGCGTGCTTCTGCGCAGTGGCCGCGGAAGCATGCATGGGGACAAAAGAGGGACAATGTCCCACGATTATTCAATGTCCACATCATCTTATGTAAACCCCTCCCTCCCCCATCCTACAATGGCAATGTCCCCCGATGTCCCCACGGCTTCCGCGGGCACTGCTTCTGCTCCTACTTACTGCTACCAGGCCATGAACCACATCATTATGTGGTTGGCGACTCGTCGTAAATATGTATGCATGCCGGCCTGCTTGCCAGAGGGGAGAGACGAAGAAGAAGAAAGAAAAGGCATAATAATCCCGTTTTGTTGAGTTTGCTTTGCTCCAGTTTGGTCAATAGAATGAGAATGTGTAAGTACATACATGTTTAAGTAACAAAGGTACAAAGTTTAATAGGATTTTGTTTATTGTGGAAAAATTTGGATGGAATTGCTACGTAGTTTTTGGGGGGTATTGTAGTAGAAAATTTGGCAAAAATTGTATTTTTTTGGGACACATTTTAGCCAAAAATTTGAGAAAATTTCTACGTTTGCGGGACATATTATGGCCAGAAATTTGACAAAATTACTATCTTCTGGGAACAATTTTAGCCAGAAATTTGTCAAGATTTATATTTTTCGGAACACATTTTACCTAAATATTTTACAAAAAATTGTAAAAAAAATTTTTTATGAAATTACTAATTTTATGGGACACATTGTAGGCAAAAATTTCACAACATTTCTACATTTTTATACAAATTTTAGCAAAAAATGTACTAAAATTACTGATTTTTCGTCATATTGTAGCTAACAATGTCGTAAAATTACTACTTTTTGGAAGGGTCATATATATAATCTAAAAATTTGGCAAAATCACTCTTTCTTGCATTATATTGTAGTAAAAACTTCATAAAATTGTACATTTTGGTGCTCATTATAGCCAAAAAGTACAAATAGATAAAATGCCAAATCCCACCCCAAAATTTTACAACTCTTGTTAACCAACACTTTAGTCTATGACAAAACCATATGCATGCAAATTAGCTCCCATTACCTAATCACCTTTCCTTTCTCTTCTTCTCTCCCTGCCTGCATACATATGTACCTCCATTGTCTATTTCCGGATGAATCAAGTTACCACGAAGTGAAGCTTCAAAAATAGAAATGCTTCCCCACCTCAGGATGATGAAGATCCAGTCAAGAAAGAAGGAAAAAAAACCTGCAGCATACATATTTTGTCTGCATGTCTGGCAATTGGTATTTTCATCTCGGTTTTTCTTTAAGTGCATATTTCTCTCTTACACAACGCTTATGGCGGTCGGTCGAATAATAAATGAAATGAGGATGAATTCCTGCACTTCACTTGGGAAGAGAATATGTCGTCAATTAGAACTTGTGTAACGGAAAAAAGCTACTTAACATTTGCGTTTATGTTGCATCATGAGGCCAGGAAATATGTTTGTGTATGAAACTCATGCCATAAAGGCTTTAAATAAATACATATGTCGTTATGAAAATCGACCGGATGAAAAAAGTGGCCAATTTTTTGGCACTGCACAATTTAGAGTTTCATGCAAGGCAAATTGTGAAATACTGGAAAATTAATTTAATATTGTTTTTCTCATTTTCAAATAAATTTTCAAATGTAGAAAACTTTTTATGGACGACTATTTTATACTTGGAGGAATAAATCCATGTAAATTTTCTTCCTGATTAAATATGTATACACAAAAAATACACACATTTTCCATAGATCAGTTTTCATGCTAAATTTTGACGCCAAACCTCTTTCTCGATATTTATCAATTTTTTTAAACATTCTTTAACAGATTGAATGTCGATTTTCAGCTTCATAAAATTTTAAATATTGTAATGTGTTTCCAAAATATTTGCTTCGTTTTGACGTTAAACAAGATTTTATACTTATTTTTTAAGAAATTTTGCAATTTTTTACCCAAATTTTGTTCTTAAATGATTGCAGATTACTCTGAAGGTGGGTACGAGAACGGCGAGACTGATTGCGTACCGTACGACGACGCGTACTACTACGGGCCTCCTCCCGAAGCCGTCTTCACCGATCCCACTGGAATGGTTTACTATGGTAAGATTTCTAATTTTCTTCCTACTTTTCATTTTTCTGTATTAAATCCAAACGTGGGAATTTATTTCTTAAAATCTTGAAAATTATGACAAATTATTGCAAATAATGCACCACCAACTACATAAAACTGCATAACTCGTAGAAGTGGGCAAAATACTGCCAAAATACAGTATTTTGAGCTCGGTTCTTCCCAGGGTTTAGATTCCAAGGGCTGTTACACCCATAAAAAGACGAAAATCTACACGGAGAAGGGCGCAACACTCTTACGAAAATAGTACAGGTTTTGTCAAGAAATTAACCTTTTATCCGTGTCAAAATACACTGTTTTCACAATTTTTTGAAGTATTTTAACATCTAAAAAATATTTCGTTTGAATGTTGCATTCTCTAAAATGTATGCAGATTTCAAAAATTTAAGAGTTTGACGTTGAAAGCAAAAATTTTGGTGAATTGTAATTCTTTAAAATGTGACATACATTGATTGATTGTAAGACATTATTCACATAAATTGAATGGCATAAAATAATCATCAAAAATCAAATCTACTTTAAGCCGTCTATTCATTGTTTTCACGATTTAAAAAAAAACTAAGTATTTTTCCAGCGATAAAAAGTTAATTTCTTCACAAAACCTGTATTTTCGTACGACTGTTGCCTTCTCCACGTCAATTTTTGTGGGTGTAACACCCCCCGAAAAATCAAACCATTAGCTCAAAATACTGCATTTTGACAAACCATTTTTTTACCTACTCCCTCTTTTCACTTAACATTTTTGAACTTCCTCCATATTTAATCAACGTCACCCTCCTAATCTTAATACGCTTGATAATCCCTCTCTCTCCAACAAATGATGATGATAGCCACGTCACAATTAAGCAGAAAACCTTCCTCTCTTAAATACATTTGGAATAGACCAACATAGCAAAATAGTCTAACGAGACGTACAAAAAGAAAATTAACCCATTGTTATCTTAAGCACGCCATAAAAAAATAGGAAACAGCTGTAAATGTGCAAGTACACAGCCCGTCTTTTGTCTCGAGAATGAATAAATGGGGCGTAAAATGACATCGAAAAATTTGATGGCTGCAAGAATCTCAATAAAAATAAGTACATCCTTTTTTCTAGACTATTTCGTGGTGGTGGCGGTTGGCTAATTATTTTTAATTACGGCTCCCCAAACAATACGTCTTTCTCTCCAGAGAAATAAGATACTTGAGGAAAACGGGGTGACAATTAATTAATGCGAGACAATAATTAAGTATGATGGGCTTTTGTGTTAAGTTGTGGGACATAAAGTAATAAAAAGAATGCTGTTAAGACTTACTTTCCACAGCCCGAGACAGGGTTTCGGGTGCAATTAATCACGTGTGGATTTTTACAGCTAAATATTTGTATTTTGTTTCTTGCACCTCGCATTTTCTTGTGGTGCTTACTTTACTGCAAGAAATGTACAAAATCTGCAAGAAACGAAACACGTAGTAAATGTTTTAAGAACAACTTCGCATAGCCCGACACAGGATTTATTATAGTGCACAAATTTACAACCTTTGTCAGAATTATACCGATTTCATGCCCACTATTTCCAGCATTCAGCACCACCCACACTATTTATATGACCCAAAATATTTATATTTTCCACTTTTAATTTGCAAACATTTTGTTTCAAAATTGTACAATTGACACGTCGATTCAATTTTTATTAAAAAAGTTATATTCGTTATTACATAAGTTAGATCCTGTAGCGGCAACCACGAGGCGAAAAACTTTTAAGTAAAAAAAATCGATGAAGATATTCTAAACTTCTTGAAAAATAGATGGACAGACAGACATACAGATTACATAAGCCCTGTCTTCCTCCCTAAAAATGACGACAAGAAACTTGATAAGTAGCACAATCTTGACATTTTTGATTATCTAATTTCGTGTATCCCCAAATTAAACCAATCCATCCATCCAAAAAGCTCATAATAATGGGTGAAAGTTCTATTATTATGTAGCACGAATCAAGCAAGCGAACCACCACCACCACCTCCGCTAAATTATTCACTTCGCACCTATTACTGTATTTTGATCCAATTAAGTCATTAAGGTGCCAACAGCACGAACCCAACCCATCCACCGTCAAAATACATACACCAAGTTGTTGTTCCATTGACTATGAGTGAAGGCAAATATACGTAAACAAGAGCAATAAATACCCCTCTGGCCATCCATCATCACTCATTCATCAAAGTGTTTTTTTTTCGTATGTTTAATAAGTACATGATTAAATCAAATCTCGTCATAAATCAATCTTCCCCTTAAATTTGTGTGTGGCATCATATTTTACATAATTGGCTTGTCATCTACATATTTTTCTTGAATTATGTAGAACTTGTTAATTATTTTTCTTAATTTTTTACACCGGTTTTCGCATGAATATATAGCTTTCTTTGCACGGCAAAAACGCCCGTCGGTGTTTCAGTACGGGCGTATCAAAAATCGCATTGCGAGCCATCCGTACTTAAATTTAAATACATTCCTACTTGCACCGAGTACGATTGTACTTCGATTAAGTACGGATGGCTCGCAATGCGATTTTTGATACGTCCGTACTGAAATACCGACGGGCATTTTTTGCAGTGTGCCTTTATCATTTTATTTGTGGGTAAAAATACGTATGAACTATACATAATTAAATTTACATCAATCTGCCCGTTAAATTTGTGGCATCATATTTTGCACAATTTTATTGTTTTCTACTTACTTTCTGGGATTACGTAGAGCAAATTATTTTTCTTTGCTTTCTTACATACGTTTTAGCACGAATACTCATATTTTCCCTTGGTTTTATTATTTTATTTGTAGCTCGTTTTTGTAGAGTATGGGTACAAAATGAAGTTGCTAAATAAAAGATTCGTGTCCAAAATGGGTTGAGTTGATTCTCACGCACTTTCTCTCTCCCTCTGTCTTTCACTGGTTTTACACAATTGCCAAAATTTGTGTAATGAAATTGAGAACTAGGTAAATTATTTGTATGCCCTTAAATGTTTGTAGATTCAATTGAATATCTATAAACGAACACAAATTTTACTATAGTCATGAGAATCGATGCATGACAAATCAGTTAGTATTAAGCCAATTTGAGTTCATGCTCATTCATTTATTGCCTGGCAATTTTCCTAGGGCTACCACAAAAATTGCAAATTCTATATTTTTATTTACTAAATATTTCACCACTAAGGACCATCGCGACTGATTCTGTTTATTTCAAATGTGTGTGCTACATACATTCATCGTTATTACGACGCGATGATAATAGTCCGCTCCTCCTCCTCTGCAGATTGTGGAGTGATGATAACAGCGTAATTTCCGCTGTTCAAAATGAAATGAAAGTGGTTTGTTTGGTTGGTTGGTCAGTCGCCGGGCTGGTTGATTTCCTTCCCGCCGCCTTCCTTTCCATCTCTGAGTCACTTTACTTTCTCCCAAAAATTCGTTCCGTCCGTCCGGGGAACCTTTCACTCAGGGAGAAAGTAGAGCAGAATTGAGTACAATGCTTGGCTTTGGTGAAAGCTTTAAATAATAATGAGAGAACACGCACCCATCACCACGACCAGTGGCGGCGGAAGCCGTGGGGACATGTGGGGACATTAATATTGTAGGATGGGGGGAGGAAGGGGTTTATATAAGATGGGGAGATGATGGGGACATCGAACAACCGTGGGGACATTGTCCCTCTGTCTACACCCTTCCGCGGCCACTGTTCATCACCATCACCACCACGGCTAAAACTATTCATATAACTTTACCACCCACCCAATCCATCCTTACGTAATATTGACTGACATCCCGTCAATTCGTGGATTTGAATTAATTTCGCGAAGAATGGAGAGACCTTAAGGCGGGAGGGATCATATTTTCGGCAGGGTTTCGTTTCTTGAGAGTTTACTACATTTATTTCTTGCACTGGAAAGGAAAAAAAATGCAAGAAATGCGAGGTGCAAGAAATTGGGAGAAAGTGCAAGAAATATGCGCCATTTAGCCACACGCGGTATATGAAGTATCGCGGGGCGTAGTTTTTTGCCACTTGCATTTCTTGCAGGTCAAAATATTTACTTGCAAAAAAAACACTTTCTTTCCGTGCAAGTGGTTACTTTCACCCGAAGCACTGATTTTCGTGGTGCTTCTAAAGGAGAAAGTCACCACGGAATTGTTTGTATGAAACCTCAGTCCATTCTTCTCCTATAAGCTTACATAATAATGCCGCAAAATCGTCTCCCCCGCCGTAATTATTCTCTGCTTGACGACGACAACAACAAGAAATCACTTTTCTCCTTAGTAAATATCTGTATAAACGATGCTTTCACCCACCGAATTTAATTACACGATTCAATTGAAGATGTTGCGTAAGTGTGAATTCAAAGGAAACAAAGATGTCTTTCACTTTCTCTTCTCGAGTATTTGCAAAGTTGGCCTCGATCATGCATGCATCTGAAGTGAATTAGAAGCTTGTCTCAATTCCGGTGTACGAGACAGACGAGAAGAGCTGAAAGATTTATTGAATTGTGAAATTACATTGTTTTCCAGGTAGGGAGGAAGTAATTTAAATTTAAATTTGGACAAGCATGTACATACAATCGTGTACATATTTATTTGTCCATTTTATCGGGGAAAATATAAATTTAAATTATGCCCTTTAAGTTACCCGTTAAAATAATAAGTAGAGTTGCACTTATGTATGTCCGTGACGATATTTATGGCATGCCCTCTTTTACGTCAGACATTTAAATTAATGCCACCACAAGGCCAAATTTCAAGGGATTTTATTTATTTTCACGGCCAAAATTCCTACAGCTTAATTTCATGACCAAAACACCTGGAATTTATTTTTATCCCCAAAATACCTGAACTTAACTTTACTACCCAAAATACCGGAAATTAGTTTTTACATATGTCCAAAATACCTGAAATTAATTTTCATGCCCAAAATACATACAATTTACTTTCCTGTCCAAAATACCTGGAATTTATTTTCATGACAAAAATACCCGAAATGTATTTCCTGTCCAAAATTTGTATAATACATTTTCGTGCCAAAAATACGGAATTTCCAAAATACTTGGACTTAATTTTCATAACAAATACCAGGTACACCCAGAATTTATTTTTCTTTGCAAAATGCTTTATTCCCATGCCCTCCCTATTGCACAACTTCACATGTACCCACATGTATACCAAACATTTCGTCTTCTTATTTCTGCCATTATTACATCCACCCACCCACCCACCAATCAATCAATTCTTCTCCTGCGTTCGCTTTCTCTATCCTCACTTTTACACCACATTAAGCCAAAATTGACAGAAATTATTGTTCTCCGACGTGAAAAAGTGGGTGGGTGGATTGGCTGGTGAGTCCTAAATACGATGACGGTGGAGAAAGTTAGTTCCAAATTTTGAACCGAGGCCAGCCTGCAAACCGAGGCCAAGAATTCTTAACGGTGTGACCTTTCCCTCAAGAAATTATTCCTGCAAAAGTAAACTTTTATTTCGTCGAGAAGGAAATGCCTTCTTGACTTGAATTGCGGCGGGGTGAATAATAAATCAATATTGATATTATAATGGTGCGGATTCCGTCGGGCTGGTGGTGAAGGAAGGAGGACGACGATCAGGACGAGGAGGAGACCACGCTTTGTAGGAAACCTTTTCTTCTCCTCTTGCAGAGAGAAAGGTCGACATCGACGTCGATGTCGTCAACCAAAATTTGCAGGGTTCGCCAATTTTGCGAGAACTGAGGGGGAGAAGAAATTGGTTTCTCGTAGGGAAATATTTAGACCTGGGAGAAATTTAAGGCGCAAAAAACTCCTTCCTATATTTCATACATACCTGTTCACCTTCATTCATTTGACTGATTATGATGGTGAGTAATAATGAATGAAAATGAAATTTATGAAAATGACTGAAGGATTCCGTCATTTCAGATGAATGACCGTGAATGAAAGGATTTTCACTCATTTCATTTTTCACCCTATGCTTAATACATGGGGCGAAGTAAGAGATGAAGTCAGATGAAGTGAAATGAAATGAATTTAAACCAAAATGACTAAATGTGAATTAAAATCTTCAATCGGAAATCGGGATGACTGACTTTTGAATGAAAAACATATTTTTGAACAGGTCTGATTATGATACAGCACGTGGCTAGATGGCGCTTATTTCTTGCACTTTCTCCCAGTTTCTTGCACCTCGCATTTCTCGCATTTTTTTACCTTCCAGTGCGAGAAACCCTCCAAAATTCTATTGCTTTCCTTAAATTGCGCCTCACTCTGCTGGGTGAAAGTGTCGGCACGGGAGACATATTGATTCCTCCAAAACGCATTCAATAGCCCCATGAACAATGACGTCGTACCGACTGAAATGAATGCAGGCCAAGCTGTCGTAGCTTACAGAGCGGTATCTAAATTATGGGAGAAATATGTCCAAAGAAAACTTTCACTGAAAAGAGAAAGCACTCAAAATCGTGTAGATTCATAAAATGTTGTCCAACTTTCGGTCTCCCTAAAAGAAGAAAACTGGATGGATTACATCTCAGTCAGTCAGTTTTTTGGAAAAAAATATTGCGTTTCTGAGGAAGAAAATAACCGCGTGTATGTATGTCGTCTGGAAATGGTGGCTGTGGTCGTGGTCAGTGGCCGCGGTAGGGTGCCTGGGGACAAAAAAGGACAATGTACCCGCGGTTATTCGATGTCGGCATCATCTCCACATCTTATATAAACCCCTACCTCCGTCCTACACATACCTGTTCACATTCATTCATTTGACTGATTATGACTGTAGTGAATGAAAATGAATTTCCTGTCATTTGAATGAAAATGATTGAAAGATTCCGTCATTTCAGATGAATGACTGTGAATGAAGGATTTTTCAGTCGTTTCATTTTTCACTCTATGCTTAATGCATGGGGCGAAGTAAGAAATGAAGTCCGATGAAGTGAAGTGAAATGAAATGAATTTGAAAGAAAATGGCTGAAAATCTTCAGTCCGAAATCGGGATGACTAACATTTGAATGAAAACTGAATTTTTGAACGGGTATGATCCTATAATGTTAATGTCCCCACAGCTTCCTCGGCCACTGGTCGTGGTGATGGTGAAATGAGACGGCGACGACGACGACTTGTGTGTTGTGACAGCTTTTGACTCTGACATTTAATTAAATGTCGACCAGTTTGTGCATGGCCTGGAGAAAAGCTGGGTCTTCTTCGTCCAGAGATTTAGCAGGTTTCTGGCTCGCACAAGATCTGCATATCGTTTTCATGAACAGAACAGAACAGAGGCCGCTCCATTACATTTCATTACTTGGATTACGACATTACAAGTCAGTTTTCGGTATAAGAGAGATAGAGCGAATGAGAGATTGCTGGTTTATAAGAGGCGAGAAGTATTCATGGGCGGCGGAAGGAATAGTGGAGACAATGGGGAACCTTAAGGTGGGATGCCTCCGCCATAGATTTTTAGTCTCACTCTACCCCTGTTTAATATCTTTAAGTACAGATTTCTAAAATGATATCAAGTTCATGAAGTTTTAAATAAATACATCTTTTCATACGATAATGTAAAGTTAAATTTTAGTAGTGCAAAACTATGGATTAAAAAAAATTCTGAATCAATTTGCCATTTTTTTCGCAATAAATTTCTTTAAAAATGAATTCGCTATTGTTTCAAATCGATGATTTCCGTGCCAAAAATTAACTTTACAGTATCATATAAAACGTTGTAAGTATCTCAAAACTCGCGAAATTGATTCCATTTTAGAAATTTGCATGAGGGCGAGTGAACAGGGGTGGAACGAGGCTAAAAATTTATGCCACATCAAACACCGTCATCCAATGGCACCTTAATAAAATTAAAAAGAAGGGAAAATTCCGGGACATTATATGTCCCCCGATGTCCCCTCTGTTCCGTGGGCCACTGGAAGTGATGGATGGATGAATGTGTATGGATCGATATGATGGATTATGGATTAAGTCTTCATCCTCCCTCCTGCTGAGAGGAGGCAAACTTTAAGTTTTAATAAGTAAGCTCGCTCCAGCCCGTCCTGGTAGTGGGTGGATGTGGATTGGATGATATGGTTGGATGGACGGACGGATTACAGTCAGCATAATCAGGATCATGACACGTGATAAAGTAAAACTTTGTACGAGAACGTATTGAATTTAGCAACTTATGCATTTGGGTCAAAGGTGATGTAACAGAATTTCAAAATTTCAGGCAAAATTGGGCGAATTTTTTAAATGCATTCAGTTGAGTACTTTTGGATAGGTGTGGCGCGTGGTAATTTGCACAAAGCGTGTCCACATCTTGGCTTCACGTTCGCCTACAAAATTGCAAAAAAATGTACAATTTATTGCGAAAAATAGCTAATTCTGCTTTTTTGATTTTCGGTAATGTCACATACAAAATTGCGAAAAAACACCCTTTTTTGAAAAATGAGTAATTTGCAAGGTTATTTTCCATTAAGGTCTCAATTTGTACGATAAATTGCAAAATATTGTACAATTTATTCAAGAAATTGCAAATTCTGCTGATTTCTGTCTATGAAGTTCCAAATTTTCACATAAGCAGGCACAAAAATTCGTAAAATGACTAATTTTCTTGTGTTGTTTTCGATTTAAGGTCACAATTTATATGCAACGTTGCAAAAAAATGTACAATTTATTTCTAAAAATGTCAAATTTTCATATTTATTTGTCCTCCTGTTTTTTAGGTCACTGTTCCAACAATGGCGAATACTACGACGCATACCCGGTGAGCCCGATGATGGTGCAAGGCTACCCGACCGTGTATTACCCGATGCCCTATCCCGTCGACTGGAACGGGGTGCCGATCCCGTACCCGCAGATGATCGCCGTCCCCCCACCCCCACAACAAATCCCCCATCCGCATGGGTCTCATATAGAGGAAGTCGTCGAAAACAATGTTCCCTGCTTACAGGTAAGTTTCAGTTTGTGAAATATCGAAATTTTTTGCAAAAAAATCACCTTAAAAGTTGTTAGAATGATTTCAAAAATATTAGAGGTCCCGATTTTGCACAAATTAATGTCAATCGATGACAAATTTAAGTAGTATGAAATTTGCGAAAGATACGATCTCACAATGGATACATTTAGCAAAGATTTTTGCATCCGAAGAGGAGTAAACGTGCCTTAAAGTTGTCAAATTTTACACTTTCGAAAGGTACCACTGCACTTTTGTTTAAAAAATGTAAGGTTTTGATACCGTTTGAGCAAAATAAACACATTTTACAAATGATATTAATCATTAGATTACCTATATAGGCTCCATCAAAATTTTACACTTTCCAAATTTACTACAGGACAGGTGTCAATAACTAGTGTTTTCTTTAAAAAATGTAAATGTAAAGCTTTGATCGGGTCTTCCGCAAATTACATGCGATCAATTGCAACTAGTTTGCCCAAAATCAGAGAACATCCGCTGACAGGCCTCCATTGTTAATTGCCTTCTCCACATTCGTAAGTTATTAAAGGTCGAAATTTCCCATTTTTATGAAACTCTGGCCTTCACCTGAATTTATCATATTTTTGAAGCAATCCTAATTTCTGATTGATTTTTACGTTAAAAAAACCAGCAAAATTTCGCAATCTTTTTTTCCATTCATCAAACAAGATCTCCTTTACTCTAACGATTATCCCTTATTTTGCAGGGTCCCGAGGTGGCCTCGCCTCCTTCCAGCGGGGAAAGTCACGGGAGTAATAAAAGTGACACACTTTCACCCACCGACTCAACCCTCACGTCGTCAACGTCATCGTCATCATCCTCCTCGGAAGCGGAACAGTCGCCACTCTCCTCCCCGAAAGATCAAGGCTTATCATCATCCGAGTCCAAGACGATGACCACCACCAGCACCACTTCCGGTCCTGGAGATATTCCCAACAGTGGCAATTCGTCTTCATGTGTGTCAGACGAAAAGTCGTCACTAACGCCACGGGAAGGCTCACCTCCCAACAAAACTAATGAGTCGTCGGTAAAAAAGGACGCTAAGTCTGGTAAGGAAGCTGCCGGGGTGAAAAAAGAGCAGCAAAAAAGCAAAGCCACCAGCGGGGATAAGGATAACAACAATTTATCAAAATCACAAAAGAAGACGGAAATTACTTTATCATCAGTGAAACCTCAATCCCAGCCGGGGATAAAGAAGATCACCTCAAGTAAGGACATACCTGTTCAGATTCATTCATTTAATACTCAATGACTAAATTCCTTCATTATTCTGTAAACTCATGAAGAAAGTGAATAATCTTTTCCAAATTTCTGAATGAAGGGATAATTTTTCGTATTTTTTTAAATTAATGAATAATTTCATTCATTATTCATTTTTCACCTTGAAGTATGTAATAAAACAAATTTAAATTAAAATGAACAAATATTGAATAATTAGTAAATAATTATTTCCAATTTTAAATAAATGAATGAATCACGAACAATTTTTCCCAATTTTTAACTTGAATAAAATCTGAATTTTTGAACAGGTACGAGTAAGGATTCCACACCACCGACGACTTCCTCCTCATCATCCACAATGTCATCACCACCCTCATCAGCGCCCGTTTCTCCACCCGGCGCTACCGGACAAGCCGCGCCTCTTCCTCCTCCAGTGACCACGTACGCGTCCGCGGTAGGAAACGCGCACCAAGGTCAAAGTCAAGGTCAAAACGTGATGCCACCACCACAACCACACCCACAACAACAACAACATCTCCACAACGGACATTATCAACACCCTGGTCCACGATATCACCACCAAGGACCACCACCCCCACAAATGAGTCATCACGGACCACCCCCACCACCGAACGGGTATCATCACCACGGTCCACCACCACCACAGCAGCAACAACAACAACACGTCATACAGCAGCACCCACTTCCTCCACCCCCGCATCCCATGGCGGGGCCACCCCCACCACCGTACGGGCATATGTATCATCCCCACCCGCCACCCATTCCCGGGGCCGGGTTCGTCTACGGACCTCCCGTCTATAATGGTAAGTCCTGGTTAAAGTGAAAATTAGAAGGCAATTTCACGCAGGCTTTCGTAACTTGGTAAAATCAGTGGAATAAATTTTGTATCGTAATTTTACAAAAAACTAGGCGCCCTTGATCTGAATTTATAAAAATTTGGAACCTAATTTTGGTTAGAAATATGAGTAAAAGTTTGTAAGTTTATGGGATTTACGGATTTAAATTACAAAGTTATCAAGGATTAATTCCCGAGATTTACCCAATTTGAATAATTCGAGGCAATTCACGAAGTCCTTAGTAACTTCGTAAATCTTTCAAACTTTTACAAAATAAAGAGACACCTTTGATCCGAATTTACAAAAATTTGGGAGCACTTTTCATTCGAAATATGGGTAAATTTTGTTACAATTTTGTAAGTTTACGGAATTTACGGATTCTACATAGTTACGAAAACCTGCGTGAAGTGCTTTCTCCAATTAGAAATTAGTTACTTAAATTTACGGCATATTCTTCTTCTCCTTCTTTACACATTTTTTGTGGGTGGTCTGGTGTCTTGCCAAAAAAAATTAAAAAATTCGCATACCCATTTTCACCGAAAACTAACCAGCATTGCAAAAAAAAATTAGTATTTAAACAGAGTGATTTAAAAATATCATTGCTTTCTTCGTGTCTGATCGTGAGTTGTTTTTTTGGGGGTGATAAAAAATAATCGGCATCATTTTAACCACAAATTCTGCAACTTTTAATTTTGCGAAATGGTTTCTAAATTTGTACTTTTCTCCGCGAAATTAATGTGCACAATTTGCTGTATGTATGTACTTACACCACTTAAAGAAACCCATTTGCACAATTTAATGCATTGCACATTTCCCTCTCCTTCAAGGACTTGGATTAAATTTAACCACTTTAATTGTCCTGTCACATTAAATAAAATGTGGTCCATTTAACTCAAAGAAAACCCGTTTTACTTTGTTTCTTGCGCCGTTGAGGGAAAGTAAAATATCGCTAAAATGGGGCTTTCACTTTCTCCTTCCCATCCATCGTACACACAAACAACTCGCCAAAATAACATACACGATACACAAATAAGCCACAAAGTAAAACCTTGTCACCAGTTTTACTTTCTGTTGTTCAGAACCCTGGAAATTTTGACATTTTTGTTTTTACAGAAACATACATGAAACACAACACACGGCAATTGTTTTAAGGAACATTTCCACCTCAAAATTGTCACCGGCTAGTTTTGCTTTCTCCTGTTTTAAGGAATTGACATCTTCTGGGAATTTTGACACTTTGTACAGAAACGTAAAATGCATTGTTTTTAAACGGCAATTGTCATTTTCATCTCAAAATTTCACGAGGTTAAATCATGTCACCGGTTTTGCTTTCTCTCGTTTTAAGGGAACAAAATCGTCCGGAAATTTTGACACTTTTTATAGAAACATACATGCATAAAACATTTTCCTAAGACAAAAATTGTTTTAAGGAACATTTCCACTATAAAATTTCATGCATGACAAGGTTAAATCTTGTCAACGTTGAATTCTCAAGTTCAGGAAACAACAATCTTCTGGAAATTTTGTTCAGAAACATGAAACACATTCCTTAAACGGCAATTGTCTTAAGGAGCATTTCCACCTTAAAATTTCACAACAAGGTTAAATCCTGTCACTTTTGACTTTCTCTCGTTCTAAGGAACCGACCATCTTCTGGAAATTTTGACACATTTCTGACACGATCAGTCGTTTCCAGGAAGATTTCCACCTTAAAATTTCGCAACAATTATTTCCCCCGAAACGGCGCACCTTTTGCCATTCGGAGCCAATTACTTACCTCGAAAAGCGAGTTAAAGCGTCCATTACCCGAGGGAAAAGTGACTTCCTGTCTGTCCAACAAGTTTTATGACGCTATATGTACATCCATCCCATTACGTGGTGCTAGATGGGTGCCAGTTTTATGGACTCGGTCGTGAAGAAGAGTAAGTAAAAGCTCAAAAACAACACCAACCAGCCAACCTACCTTCCAGGCAGTGGCCGCGGAAGCCGTGGGGACATTGGGGGACATTGTCATTGTAGGATGGTGGGAGGGAAGAGTTCATATCGAACAACCGTGGGGACATTGCCCCTCTGTATACACGCTTCCGCGGCCACTGTGTAAACATGAATTTTATCCAAGTTAGCCATACACAGTGACCGCGGAAGCCGTGGAGACATTGACATTGTAGAATAGGGGCCATACCTCTTCAAAAAGCTTTTTTCATTCAAAATTCAGCCATCCCGATTCCAGAGTGAAGATTTTCATTCACACTCACTCATTTTCTTTCAAACTCATTTCATTTCACTTCATCCGACTTCATTTCTTACTTCGCCCCATGTATTAAGCATAGGGTGAGAAATGAAATGAGTGAGAAATGAAATGAGTGAGAAATCCTTTCATTCACAGTCACTCATCTGAAATGACGAAATCTTTCACTCATTTTCATTCAAATCACAAAAAATTCATTTTTATTCACCATCATTCTCTATCGTAACCAGTCACATGAATGAAAGTGAACAGGTATGGATAGGGGAGGAAAGGGTTGATACAAGATGAAAGATAATGCCGACATCGAATAACCGTGGGGACATTGTTGCCCCTCTGTCCCCATGACAGCTTCCGCGGGCCCTGCTTCCAGGCACCTTTTACCTACCGATCCAGTTAAGTAAGTCGGGTGGGTTAAGTACGTTTAACTTAATAGAAGTGGATCCTCTCGAAACTCTTGCTCGCTCGTGGAGGAGGCAGGCAGGATGGAAAATTCCGAGCTGTTGCAGCTGGCTGGAGGCAGAAGATAGGCACTTAACTTACTTTTAAGTGCAGTTTCTCCCCCCTTTGTTTGTTTTTGTTGTTGATGCTGCTCCTCTCCTCTGCTGGCCGATGGTTGGTTTGGTTTGGTTTTGTTATTATGGCGTCTTTTTCATGGACTTTCTCTTCTCCTCTCTAATTTTAGAGATCAAGTTGAATGGAAAGTCCGGTGCAGGGTTTCACTTATGACGAGTTTGCTATATTTCTTGTATTGGAAAGTTAGAAATTTGAGGTGCAAGAAACTCCAAGAAAGTGCAAAAAACTGCTAAAAAAACTGCAGCAAACTGCAAGAAACTGCAAAAACCTACAAAAACCTGGAAAAAACTACAAAAAACTGCAAGAAAATCCCGAAAAATAAAAGAAATTGCAATAAATATGCGTTATGAAGCCATATGAAGTATAACGGCGGGGAATAGTTTCTCGCACCTTGCATTTCAAAATAGCTACAAGAAACCACTTTCTTTCTGTTATTTCTTGTACCAGGTTAATTGCCAGCATTTAGTTTCTTACAGCTTTGTTACATTTATCTAACTGCAAGCCACGCAAGAAATGCAAGACACTGGGATAAAGTGGGAGAAATATGCGCCGTATGAAGTTATTTATAGTGGCGGGAGGCAGTTTCTTGCATTTCTCACAGGTCAAAATTATTTTTTCCCTGCAAGAAACCACTTTTTCCCCTTATTTCTCCCAAATGGTTACTTTCACCTACCCGAAACACTGCCGTCCTGCACACCTTTCTCCTCCTGCAAATTGTTCTCCTAGTTAACAAAACTTCTCCTTCTTTGCATCAATTTTCTCCTGAAAACAAAGTGTTATTTTATATCGCGACCAGAATGTCGTGAATAAATTGGGGTTCATCTTGTTTGGCTCGTCACTACGAGTCGTTGGTGGGTAAAGTCCCGTTAATTTATCACCAATCCAACTTTCTTGTCCGCTTTGCCAACAAGATTTGGGATTAAGACAGGCTTACAAAACCAGAATCTTGGAGAAAGTCTTGTTCTCCTTCATTAGTTCCAGGTTGGCGACGGTTTTAGAGAAATGCGGGTTGGTGGTGGTGGTGGGAAAGTGGAAATCTGAAATACTTACGGGGAGGTGAAGTAGTAGTTAAACTTAAATCTGTGCAGACCCGATAAACATATCGGGTCGTGGTGATAAGCTGGTATGACAAAAGACTAACTTTTCCAAGGTTTTCTAGCTTTTTAACACAATTTCAAATTTTTTAAATATTTATTTTCAGGTGAAAGTTAATCGCCTGCTCATAATTTTTCCTATAAACATGTCGACATACATTTTAGGTAAAAACCTAGAAGAATGATTTGGCGAAAATATGTTTATCTGCAGCGACGAGAAAAACGCATCTCTCAATAGAAAGGTTTGACAGAGAAATTTGCATCCTAAGAGGAGAAAACGCGTCTTAAAGTTGACAAATTTTGCACTTTCAAAATTTGCTGCTCGTTTTATCCTCTTGGGATGCAAATATCTCGGCCAAACGTGCGCATTTGGAGCTCGTGTCTTTCACAAACGTCATACTAATTAAACTTAGGATCGACTGACACTAATTTGACAGTTTACAAATTTACTGTAGTTATTAGTACAGTTTTGGTTTAAAAAAAATGTAAGACTTTGACACCTTTTGAGTAAAATATACGTATTGCGCAAATAATATTAATTTGTTAGATATGAAGGGTCTATGCTAATTAAATTTGCGGTCAATCGACACTAATTTCCTCAAAATCGGAGAGCATATGCTGGAGGACCTCCATTTTTATTAGTCATTACCAGATCTATTCAGGGCCAGATTGTTTTTCGGGTTTGATACAAAGTACAGAGCACAGTCCATCAATAACTGGAGGAAGAAAGGGTACAATTTTCTTGCAGGTTTATCTTATTTGTTGTACATCTCTCTTGTTCTGAATTGGATTTGGAGATGAAGAGAAAGCAGATTATTTGTTTCCTGAGAGGAAATCTATGCAAATCTGCTCCTTCCTCTTTCTCGTCCCACTTGTAAATCTCCTCAGAGTGAAAGCTTTACCTTTGTCTTTCTTGTCTTACTTATCCTGGATTAGAGTAGATTTCTCTGTTGGAAGGAATGATGATACGAAACACGTGGAAATTTTGCATTTCTCGACGAATATTTCCCTTGGCTTATCAAATTGTTTATCTGGGTTTATTAAACCTTTGT